ATGTTCTGCTGATAGAACCTCAACTAGGGGAATACCAATCCCACTAGTGTGCCTACAAAGAAAGATGCTCCTTAGGAATTAAAGAGTGTTTACAGTTAATGGTTGGTACATCAAGTCCAGGGTCTCAAAAGGTCTTCAAGGACACAATATGTAAAGAAAAACTGTGTATCAATCGCACAAAAAATAATCCTGTTTCACTTGAAAGAATCACTCCCCTTTTGAATTCTACCTACTGCATTTTGCTAAAAAGACTGCTTTAGATAAGAGCTTTTTTATAGCTGTTATCAATATCCTCTCCAGAAGCAAGTAACAGAAAGACACAACCACTTTCCTCTCAGTGCCATGACTGATACCCATTTTTCTTGCACCCTTCTAGACACAAAACCAGAATATATTTTTAAAAAATTAGTGTATGTATTTATGTTGGAAAATGCTGCATAGATGAGGTGATTTATTATAAACTTAGAGTGGTGCATTTTTTCATCAACGTTCTTAACTTGTGTTTATATAAGGCCTCCCACAGACATGCGGAGTCACTGGATTTTGAGAAAGGAAACAGCACAAAAGGAAGAATTTAAACCAACAACATCGTTTCTTTTTATGGACTGTTATGTTTGTTGGACAGTATCAGACTGTTTCCTGTGTGCTACTGTTTATGTCAGGTACCTTCCCGGAGCTGCAGTCTTCACATGCATACTGGAGTGGCCTAAAAATAATCTGAAAGATATTTAATACAGATATTATCAGATTTTGTTTTTTTTTAGTGCTTGAACATGAAGCATATGATTTTGACTATGCTTATACTTCACATTTCTAGAGCAAATCTGTTCACTGCACCAGTCATTCACTGCAGTTAAAGCAGAGACTGAGTCACCGCTGCTTTGTGGACAATAACGAAGTTCTAGTCTATCCCCTCGCTTCTGGCGTGATTTCAAATATCGCCACATTGAAGAAGTACAAATTGACTCTATCAATCCTCTTCATTAAGTGTTCAAGGCCAGGTTGGATGAGGCTTTGGGCAACCTGGTGTAGTGGAAGATTTCTCTGCCCATGGCAGGGGGGTTGGAACTAGATGATCTTTAAGGTCCCTTCCAACTCTAACCATTCTACGATTCTATGATTCATTTGTTCAGACTAATCCTGCTGCTGTGCATCGTCTTCTGCTAGGCTGGAACTAGCAGATCTGCTATGGCAGCTTTAACTAGAACAACAGGATTTTTGATAGTACCAAAGTATCAGTTGAAGTGCAGCAATATGATCAGTCAGCTAAAAAGAAGACACCTGGAGTGCGGGGGGAGAACCAAATAAAAGGGCACGTAACTGCAAGACCTTCAGGGTCCTCCACAGTATGAAGCAACATCTTTGTTTCTCTTCTTTTTTTTTCCAGTTTTGTATGAAAAACAATCCATACGATCCATGGGAAAAAAAAACCCAACAAACTAACCCTTGCATTTACCTGGTGCAGGTGATTCAGTAAATGAATTTGGGTTACCTTTGGGTTAAATTCCCTTAACCTTTTCGTGGTCTAGAAACTGAAAAAAAGCTTGATAAAAATCTTGTAATTGCCATACTGAAGAGAAACATCTGCATACGTAATTCACTCACAGATTATTAGGTAGCCATCTGAACCGTACGCTTTACTACCTTACACAGTTACTTGTAGAAGTTTTGTGCTAGGCATCGTGAATCCAAGCTACCAGCTATCTTACTGGAGTGGAAAAAAAAACCCAAAGCTTTTAAGATAAAATAGTACCTTAATGATTTAGCAGAAGGTTTAAATTCATATAAGGTATTTAAAAGATATCAAAATAGTAAAATATATGTATATTTATTTCTGCTCTACTAGACAGGCTTTCTCAATTCAACTCGAAAATTCAAGTCATTGAAAATGGATATATTTTTATCCTTAGTACTACGAACTACAATGGATTGTTTTTCATACTTCATGAAACTGGAAAAAAAAAACAAACAGTAAAAAAGAACAAGTAATCTTGTCCTTGCTTGCTTCCCTTTAATATAAATTATCTTACATATTACTTCGAAATAAAACACTTCCTTCCTCTTTTTACCTTAGAAGTGCTTTTTCCCCTGTGTTTATCATGGAAGATTACACAGATGATGAGGGTAATTGGCTCCTGCAGGGTTAGAAAGGAGCATTCCTTAAAAGTTTTCACAAACGTTCAATTTCAAAACCTGTTAGCAATAAAGAAATAAAATTGCTCTTTCACTTTTAATTCTTTTTACCATTATTGAAAAAGGTAAATGAGACAACTAACCTGTTCAAAAGCTTCTTTAAAATTACACAGTGCTAAGTAAGCATATTCTTGAGTTTCATACCAAAGTGCAACAAATGCAAAACATGGAATCTTTTAAAATGTATCTTCACCCTTTTCATAATATGCGTATCTTTTTCCTTGAAAAGTGGTATTTCACACATCAGTAGTTTCAGACCTTAAAAGCTCCTGAGAAGTATTGCACTTTTAAGAGTTCAATATTCTTTTTTTAAAAAACTTTGATAAAATAAATGGATAGTTTGTCAAAGCATGAAGCAGTCCAATACTGATAACGGAAGAAAACATCCCTAAAAATTTGATTTGAATTGAAAGCCACATTCTATTCACTGTATATTGCGATCTAGTATCTCTCAAGAGTGGACAACTTTTCAAGACTGATACGTACCAAGACTGAACTCTGCCTCTTCTTGCATATGAGATGCCTACATTTATGCTTACTACATTTCTGGATGGTCTGAACTTAATCACTCCTTCCCTCCCTCTGTGTTCCTTTATTAGTAGGTACTCGAATAAACAGCACTTGAAAGCCTGTAATGAAAAGTTGAGTGCCGCTCCAATAAAAACATACAAACAAGTATTCACATATTTTACTGTTCTAACACAAAGCGTTCTCTATAAAGAGGAGGAATCAAAATAGTGTCAGGTAACAGGATTACCTAAGGACGCGTTAAAATTTTTTTTTTTCACAAAATAATTAAGTTTCTTCATTAAAACCAGACAGTATTTCAGTTCTACAAAACAAGCCCTATAGATCTTTTCTTTCACTTCCAAAAGAAATTTAACTAGGACAGATAAAAGGTTTCTGAGATATTTTGTTGCAACAATAGCAACCCATTTCAAGTAAGGAATTAATGTAAGTTTTTTTTTTTCTGGTCACTTACATGACTAAAACAACAATTAAAAAATGGATTAATTCTTAAGCTTCAGTAATTCCACTTTTTAAAAAAAAACCCAAAACATTTATTTCCTCTATTTAAATCAATTTCTAGAAATTTTGTTCAGTGTAATATATTTCTACTGAAAATATTTTTAATTTTTTCTCTATTTTTTTCCTAAGATTAGAAGGAAGGTGCCATTATTGTTTTGCTTCAGAAGCCAGTCCCTACTATCAGGAAAGAACTGGCATGGCCAGACACACACACATAAAAGTGGTCAGGTGCAGTATCATACAGATCAGTAAACAATATACAAAAAAATAGTATATAATACTGTGACAGTTTTTCAATATATTCATATACAGTATTCTCCGACTACCTGTAACTAAACCGGCCACAAATCCTGAAGAATCTTGTCTATAAAATTGAGTAACCCATCGATATACTGTATCTCTTCTAAAAATACCCGTAATTTACACTAATATACAAGGTATCTGCTTGCAAACACAGAAGTAGCCATAAATAAAACTTTATTCTTTCATTTCATTTACAAGCTACCAAGTACCATGTATTTACACAGCACTGGACACTTAAAGTAGTTGCAGTCACAAAATGATCCAGACAGCTGTTGATAAAGTAAAGGATCTTAAGATAAAAGCAAAGTAATACTGTAACAGATAAGTGGCAAAAAAGCAGTTTTGCCGTAATGATCAGACTTGCATGTTGCATCAATTCTGGTTGAAACGACTGAGCGCCATGCGATTCTCAGCTTTAATTGTTTGCAGTCTGGCTAAAGTTTGTACAGTCATTTCTCTCTTGCAGTTATTAAAATAAAAAAGTTAAAAACTATAGCAGCAACAAGCAAACCCTGTGACAGGAAGGCAAGGTTTAAGAACTAAAAAAGTTTATACAATGTGCTTAGGAAGGTTGCAGAGTTTATCTTCCATCAGCTGGAGTTCGACTGAGTGACAACATGATTCGGGCGTATCTTTCACACAGTTCGTGTGTGGAGTAGGAGGGTAACTTTGGCGGGTCATTGAAACCTTTTATCTCTGTAGAACAATCTAGTAGTTTTGGCAGGAAATCTGTCAGCTTCTCTTGCAAGTTAGCTGCAAATAAAACCAGGAAAAAAAACATAAGCATTTAACTCTGCATGTGGAATTCTCCTTTTTCTGCCAAACATTGACTTTTTTTTTTTTACTGGTAGGTGGGAAGAGAAGGAGTTTCACTTGGAACAATCCACTTTCTTCAGGTCTGCCAGCAATAACTAGGACATACCAATTTCTAGTAAGATGTTAATATGAATACCCCTTCGGACGGTCTAACACCACAAAAGTTTTTCCCTTCAAAAAGTATGTTTCCTTTAAGGTCTAATACCTCGGTGCAACATATGGAAGAACTGTTTGTTTAAATATATATGGGATTATTCAAAGGTCAGGGTAGCCCAAAATACACCACCATGCCACAAAAGATATAGGCTCAATTCAAGACACTGAAAACATCACATTCATAAAAAAGGTGTGCAAGGGCCTTTTACCTTAATGAATAAATGACTTACGTTCCATTTCTTGTCCAAGATAGGAACACCAACGGTTTCTCATATCTTCCACCGCAACAATATCTTTTTCTTCCATTTCATCCACCAGTAGTAATGGCAAACACGGGACAATAAGCTCATTCATAATGATCAGGCCATTATTTACTTCCTGATCATCTCCTGATTCAAACAGTGCTGCAGCATGTTCATTTAGTTTCTTCATCAACCGCCACAAAAAAGGAAAGCCTTTCAGTATACAGCATTTCACATTCTGCCATGCATCAGTTTGTTTGTTTTAAAGCACAGTCTTCCCACAAAGCTACCTGCTAACTTTCATTAACCACGGTTGCACTTTAACGTTTACAGCAATGATGCATATACTCTACTAAACCACTTGATCTTGTGCTATTCCTCAAGCCACTTAAATCTGATACCTGCCAACTCAACCTTTGCAGCTGCTCTTTTCAAGACTGAGGTCCTATGATCCGCTTTTGTTTTCTCGCTACTGCTAAAAGTGACATAATCAAGGCAAAAACCCCTTGTTTCCTG